ATTTTGTATATATCTAGTACAGATTACAATTACGATGTAGGGAATAAATTTATTTTCTCATTTCAGGAACACCCTAGAGATGTATTAGACTGGGCGTCAGCGGTCGACAATGATAAACTTGTGATTCACTACGTCAGAGATGTTAAGGTAAGAAACCTTGTTTAATATTTTTAAAACTAGTAATTTTGCCCTAGCTTTCCTCAGATATTGTTTAAATAAGAGTTGGTTGCTTACTGATTTTAGAGTTTTCTAGAAATAATTAAAAATAGACCCAGAAGTAATTATATTTTCTAGAATATATATGTTTTTTATTACTACATAGTATGTTATATTTTGAATTTGGTTGTTTTCCTTTCCAGAGTGTACTACAACTACACGATATGAAGTCGGGCGAGCTGATCCAGACATTTGAGCTGGATGTAGGCTCCGTGGTTGGATTCTCCGGCAAGAAGAAGCAGACTGAAATCTTCTATCATTTCATGTCCTTCCTCTCGCCCGGCATTATCTACCACGTCGACTTCACTAAGAAACCCTACAAGCCTACCGTGAGTTAACACGTCATAACTTTCCAGTCGAATTGATAGCATTAAACGTGTTAGTTAGTTTTCTATTTTGCTTTGTCTATGTCAAAAACTGAAATGCTAATATGCTATAAGCGTCTACACTGAAACCGAACTATCGACCGATTTTTATTTAGATTTCGTCACGAATAATCTTTAAATACAGTGGTATAACGTTTCAGGTGTTCAGAGAGGTGAAAGTGAAAGGTTTCGACGCGTCGCAGTACGAGGCTAAGCAGATATTCTATTCCAGCAAGGACGGCACCAAAGTTCCTATGTTTATTGTTTCTAAAAAGGTATGAAGTATCATAATTACATCAAAATATAGTTATGGACATGACAACGGACGATTTCCAGTTCTATGTTCTACACAAATTACAATGACAAACAAAGAATGCAAATATAACCGAAAACTGAAGAGCTGGCGGCCAGGTCTTGACACAGCGCCATCTGTTATCAAAAACAAAAATTACTTTTCAGTATAGTAGAAAAAGAAATCATACTTAAATTATGTATGTGAAAGTTTGGATGGATGGATGTTTGTTAGAATGTATCTCCAGAACGTTTGCATGGATCTCGCCGATATTTGGCATAATATAAAACATAGTCTACTATTTTCTTTCCAATCTCGTGCGGACGGAGTCGCGTGCGACAGCTAGTTATTAATATTTACCGTGTGTATTAGGATCTGCCTCGCGACGGTTCTAGTCCGGCGCTGCTGTACGGCTACGGAGGCTTCAACATCAACGTGCAGCCCAGCTTCAGCGTGACGCGGCTCGTCTTCATGCAGCACTTCAACGGCATCGTTGCCATTCCCAACATACGCGGCGGAGGGTACGAAAATACATTTATTAGCTTTATCTTTTATAGTACAACATATCGACTTACAACCCACATACGTTGCACGGGACCTTTTAGAAGAAAAAATAACAAACAGAAAGATGAGGATAAAGGAGTGCTAGGGATGTTTTTTTAATGAAAAATCAATGTTTTTTTTCTGTGTGCAGAGAGTACGGCGAGCGGTGGCACAACGCAGGCCGGCTGCTGAACAAGCAGAACGTGTTCGATGACTTCCAGGCGGCGGCGCAGTACCTCGTGACGGAGGGATACACGCGCCCCGAGCTGCTCACCGCACAGGGCGGCTCCAACGGCGGCCTGCTCGTCGCCGCCTGCATCAACCAGCGCCCCGACCTCTTCGGCGCAGCTATTGTGCAAGTCGGGTACGTACTCACAACAGGAACCAACGAAATATATGCTACTTTGAGAGTAACGGTTATGTGATGGCGCTAACATTTGGTTTTGTAAAGTAACGAATTACAGCTATCTATGTTGTAAATAACATATCAATTTACACCCCCATCAATTTATCATTGTCATAAAACCAAATGTTGTATCGTGTTGCAGCGTATTGGATATGCTGCGATTCCAGAAGTTCACGATCGGCCACGCCTGGGTATCTGACTACGGCAGCTCCGACAACAAGACGCAGTTCGAATACTTGCTCAAGTACTCGCCCCTGCACAACATTCGGCCACCAGACAATGGCAAGAACTTATTTCATATAACAGCTAACTCCTATATATCACACTAAATATCTCGTAGTATGTGATTGCTTTTAACATTAGAAGAAATAAATTTACCATTTTCTTAAATGTTTGTGATCGTATGTTGCAGAGGGTAGAGCACAGTACCCCGCGACGCTGGTGCTATCTGCTGACCACGACGACCGCGTGGTGCCTCTGCACACGCTCAAGTTCATAGCGGCGCTGCAGGCGACCGCCGCGACCAGCCCCGCACAGCACCGCCCCCTGCTGGCACGCTTCGACACCAAGGCCGGACATGGCGGCGGCAAGCCCACCGCCAAAGTGGTCAGTCATCGTCCTAATATTGCACACTTTATTACCTACCACAGCTGAACATTAATTGTTGGTGGTTTTTATAAATCCTTTCAGTTTTTATCAAGTAGCTTTCAGTATACATATACACTTTCAAATTATTAACGTATAGTCGTTTTTTAAATTGGTTGGTGAAATATCGTTTTGTGGCAATTACTAAAAAAACTGATACTAATGAATGTTTTGTTGCAGATTGAGGAGCACACAGACATCCTGTGCTTTATGACAGAGACTCTTGGCCTCAAGTTCGTCAAGTGATGGCGCGCATCAAGCGATGCAACGCCGCAAATAGTACACCGAGCTCACTGAAAATAGTATTAATTGTAAATATACCAGGAAGCCAGAATACCAGTCTGATGATTACCTCGGGCGCCGCGGCGCCGGTGATATTGTTACGCATTACTACTATTTTTTTATTAAAAAAAACATTGTTTTTATTTTCTAACCAGTGTTTTATTTTTTCCTTCCTCCCGAAAATACATGCATAGACCGACAAAGTTATCTGACCCGGTGGGCATAAATCAAATTATCTCTGCCAATTTAAAAAAAAAAACATCGTATCGTATCAACATCCTTCTTTCTCTACAGTAAAAGTCCGCAAGTTTTTATATCATTTTCAATACCTGAAGGAAAGTCAGAAGGTCCGTTGTTTTTAAATAAAACAATTTAATCGGTTTTTTAACTTTATTATTTCTTACAATATATGCTAACAGCACGAAGTTGAGTTGGGACTCGCTTCACCCATAATATAATATGAAATATTAGTTCCTTATAATAAAATAAATAAAACACTTCTAATGCCCTTGTGGCTTTCTCAATATATCCAATATTCTTCTTTACGCGTTGTTACTCTTATGTAACGTGCAACATCAAGAAATCTTTACAATGGCCTCGATTCATAATCTTTTCAACAAAATATAAGAGACAAACATCCGTGTTTTAGATTGTATAATATAATATTTACTTAAGAGCAAGAGCGATCGAATCGACAAGCCCAGACACAAGTCGCGACACTGTTACCACTAAGTAATGAAAATTATTTAAATTTGACCCATTACAATGAAATGTACAATTGCCTTAGTACATTCTTCATACAAATGATCGGATACATAAAAATTTACCGATCAAATGTATCAACGCTCAGTACATTATATTATAGTAATATAATTTAAATCTATTTAAACTCGTTAATCAGGGATAAAATACACAAGGTACGTCAAACATCCTAAAATTAACAAGCAACCTTAGCCTAGTTTATACTAGAATAATGAATACATAGTTGTGTTGTGATGTCATTGTGTTGGCAGTTAATAGTTTAAATAATAGTTCTCAAAGATTTACAATAAAAAGCATCAACTTTTGAAAACTAAACTTATACGTAAACGTATTTAAATTAAAATTATTTTAAATTATATTCTATTCAATTGTGTATAAATTTGGCGAATCTTATTAGAAAAAGACTCGAAATAAAATGCGCGTGTATCATAAACGCACATTTGGGGGCCGCTTACTTCTTGTCAAGGCAATTTTATAAATTTTATTTAACTAAAATAACTTTGTGATTATAAATGTAATCCATAATGAACTCAAAATATTATTAAAATGTAAACAGTTCCTTTAAGTGGAATAGAAAAAAATAATGCATGCATTTAGAAACAAATTAAAAAAATGCGATAAACCTACAAGTTTAATTTGGGCAATATCTTTGAAGTCTCACACAGAAAAAACAAGGGATGGGACTGAAAATGTCTTATGTAGTGATGATGAACTTATGTTTAATTACCGGTACTTTTGATATTTTCCTATCAAACGTTAATCAATAGAGACGCACCGCTGCTAAAAATTTACCAGATATCTTATACTTATATTAAAATTACACATTTCATAGATCAGGGTCGAGGGATGGGGGATGCAAACATACATTATTCTAATAAAGCGGTGTTAGAAATCGAGGCCACTTGTCCTCATCGCCGCGGCCGCGCCGCTGCGGGGACGAGGACGTCGGCTTCTACTTAAGTTAACCTACAGTTCCACCATGGCCGCATGGTGCAACGTGCCCGCGCCGCGGCATACACCCCTCTGCGCCTCTGACGTAGGGATGGCCGTTGATTCAACTGTTGATCCCCTTCAACATTTTAATCGTTGACTGTTTTTTAATCAACTAGTTGAATTCAACTTAATTTACGTACAGTCAATTTTTTTTTGCTACTTCGGGTTTTTATTTTGTCTACTAGTTGAAAAAAGCAAATTTATTTTAAGTTTCGTTGACTGCAAAACCGTCAACGACCCATCCCTACTGTGAGGTCGTACGTATAATATTGCACGTAGACCGTTTGATAGAGATATTAGAATATTTAGCTTTCTATAGCGTTATCTCTGTCACACACTGTTACTTGGTGCTTCGTGCGACAGAGACAACGCTGTACAAATCCGTGGCAAATAAACTCTCTCCAAAGGTCAAGGTGCGTAATTATGTAGCGTACTATAGAGCAGGTACCACCGCAGTGTCTCGGACAAACCTTATTTGGCTTGGCTTCACAGCCTCTTTTCTTCCATTTCATTTGTATTTCGTTACTCAGCACAAAACGTCTGACTTCTTAGAAACTATCCAAAAATTTTTTTATAAATATAAATATAATATTACTTCTAGTAGGGTAGCGTACAGCTTAGCTTTAATGATATTGATAAATGATTGAAGAATAAGAAAAAAATTGCAAAATGTATCGTTTGGCGTAATACGCGATAAAATATCAACCAAAAAAAACCTTCAGTGAGAAATAAATGTTGCAGGAATCGAGATGATAATGATTGTGATAGTGAATATATCATAGCTGGAAATATTACAATACATTGTCAATTTACATAATGTTGTCCCGAACTATAATTCCGCGCCGAGAGATATTCACATATGTCCTAGTATTGCGAGATAATTGTGAGAAGGTGAGATGTGTTGTATGTGGTGATGTGCGCGGGATGATGCCCTCACTCAGGCAGGCCGTTGATGACTCCCGCCTTGGGCCCCGCGCCCGCCATGCTCTGCATCCTGCTGGAGATAATATTACAATTATTTTGACGTAGACTGTTGTAACCATGTAGGGTAGTAACCACAGTTAACTATCCAGAAAATGCTTAAGAGGTGGTTTGACAAATTATTAAGAATCATGAGTTTCACAGAAACGCCCATAGGCACAATACTTGACTCCAACTTTGGTAGGGTTTAAAAAGGGCATATAACAATAATGTTGAAGGCGAGGCCAATCTACCTGGTGTCATTAGTAGGCTGGTGGTGTGATGGTGTGGGCGCGGCGGCGGCTGTGGGCGCGGAGGGCTCGAGGCCGAGCAGGCGCAGGGAGCGCAGCGCGGCGCGGGCGCACTGCTCATGCGAGGCGGCCGTGCTGGCTCCACCGCCGTGACACATCACCGGCGGCTCCGTCGACAGGGACACCAGTGACAGGTACTCGCCGTGGTTACGCTACAAACACGAATATCATGAAAATAGTACATAAAATTCGACTAACAAAACATCTGGATTGAAATAATAACAGTGACAATATTTTACTTTCAACCACTTTTTATCATATAAAGCTTAGAGTGTGTGCAATAAAAACCTTGGGGAAGTCGGAGAACTCTACGGTGAAGCCGACCAGCTGCGAGAGGTACATCAGCTGGTCCATGGCACTCGCCGCACCACCCATAACCGCACCCGCACCCGCACCTGCACTGCTCGGCTCGCTCAGCCCTGCACATGTTCACATTGTTCTTTCATAAAACAACCGAAATATGAAACGGAAATATTTCAGATCAAGATCAGAACTTTGGAAAAACGAATATATTAAAAATACAATCTTTACATTCAACATTATTATCTAATTAGTTACCATTGGCCTTGTGATGTGGCTGTACTGAGCGCTGGTGGTAGTCCATCATGAGCACGCCGGGCACCGGCTGTCGCACCTCGCTCCCCGCTCCCCCCATAACGCTCACGCTGCTCGCCACCGGCTCATTTTCCTGTTAACATACATTTTTAAAATTAACTATATAAATAGTACCGAGATACGGTTTGAAAAATTATCCTAATTTACTAGTTTTACCTTTCGTTTGATGTCAATATTCGGCTTGGTGTCGGCGGCGCTGTTCACTTTGGAATTGTCACCGGCGGGTGCGACTGTCTCACCGCCGTTGGCCATCTCCATAGCCAACAGGACATCTGAAAGATACAAATATACATTATATCACTTTTAATTATAACTTCAAAAGTGAGTTTATAGTGTCGAAACAGATGTATAAAAATATATTGTTTCAGTTTTTTTCAAGAAGAATGAGTGAGATAATAATATATGTACGGTTAATACGTGTTACTGACTTTGCGCGGCCCGTCGCTTGGCAGTCTTCTTGTTGGGGCCGAGTCCGGTGGCGCGATGCGGGGGAGCGTCGCACTGCACGAGGAACTCCCTGCGCCGCGCCGCGCCGCGCTCCTCCACCACGCGGTACTGCGGGGAGCGCGCGCGCGCCGCGTGACGTGCCAGCGCCAGCCGCGAGATGGGGTTGTCGGCGGCCGCAGCAGCCGCACTGCCCGCAGCGCCGTTACCGACACCCACGCCATTCCCATTCGGACAACCGAATTTATTCTCCTGAAACGTGTAACACACGCTTAATTAATTTATATAATTGTAGAAATACCAGCAGCCATTTTTACATAGTAGTTAGGTAATAAATAAACAGACGACTAATAATAGGTCCTTCGATAAGAGCATTTTGTGTAAATAAAATTGATTAATGATAATGAAATGACCAGATGATTTATATCACCTTGATGAGATTGCGCGGGCGTTTCTTGGCAGGCTGGGGTCGGCGGCGGTCTTGGGCGGGTCGCGCACGTAGTGCGGCAGGCGGCCAGCGACGCCGCATCTCCTCCAGCATGAGCTCCGCCGCGCGCCGCTTCGATACCTTCTTTCCGTTGCCCTCGCCCTCCGTCTCCATGTCGCCCACCGTGCACACAGTCACAAACACCTACACGAATTACAAACATATTAGTACGAGCCAAACTAGTGGCTCAATAGCTATACATTTCGGTTTAGAGCCAAGCGGACATTTTTTAATAATAAACAAGTAATATGTATGTATCCAGACCCGCATGTGCGGCGGGCCGCGCTCAGACTTGACAGAGAACTGCACAGAGAGGTTCCGCTTGAGTGCCAGCTCGTGCACGAGCGACACCGGCGACTTTATCTCAGAGTTCAAGATGTCCGAGCCCGAGTCACCTGAAACATTAACTAAATAAGCTGCAGCCCACATTTTGTTGTTGTTCACCAAAATAACAGCGAGCGGGGGGCATTACCATCGTCGGCGTGGGGGAGGGTACTGTTGTCGGCGTCCGGGTCTGGAGGCGGATTGGGGCGCAGGTCGTGCAGCGCGCGCGCCGCCGCGTCGTGCCGCGCCGCTTGCGGGGTCGCGCCCTCGCCCATCCACACGCGGCCCCCCACGCTCACACGCACTCTGATAATACATTTCAGTATCAATAAAATATTTTACTTCTATCATTTTAGCTAACCAACAGAGGGGTACTGTTGAATGTTTGCCTTTTCGATAAATAAAATTAAATGGCAACAATGAGTGCTGTCAACCTGTATACGAGTCCAGGTCCGAGCATACGGGGGTAGGCAGGCGGCACGGGGGGTACCAGCGAGGGGTGCGGCGGCAAGGGCGCATGCGGCAGCCGGTAGGGCGGCGGGCGGGAGCGCGCCCGCGGCGCCCCGGCCAGCGGCTGCAGCGACGTGTACACTGCCGGCTGGCACAGCTTCATCGCCAGCGCATTCAGCTCCACAGTCGGCATCACCGCACCTATACATACATAGACAAAAAAAAATATAATCATATTATAACTTTACACTATACCATGAACAGAATGATGTATTTATGTTTTTAGGTATCTTGTTGTCTGTATAAAGTTACCGGCGTGTCTGTGGAGCGCGGCGTGGGGCGCGTGCGGGGGCGGGATGCGCGGCGGCGGGGGCGGGAACGTGGTGCCGGTCAGCGCCGCACTCGCCGCCGCGTGTTGCGCGCGCTTTATCGATGACCCCTACGAGGCAAACCGCAGATTATTTTATCAACTGTTAAACATATATTTTTTTAAATATATAGATAATAATTAACCTCAGCTGTGTATTCTTCAGTCTCACCCAGGCGGAGTGTTACTGTGAATACTTTCTTGTGAGCGGGCCCCGTCTCAGATGTGAGGCGGTATTGATGCTTAATCTGAAATTATAAAATAAAGTAATTGTTAGCTAGTGTGTAACATATGGGTTAATAACTGAAAGGAAACTTTTGCGTTGTTAAAGTATACATATCCATTCATTTATCTGTAACTGTCATTTATTGACAAGTTTGAGTCCTGTCAGTTGCCTAACCTTATTGTACCTGGCCAATTCATTGACCAGGCACATTGGTGTCTTCTCTTTACTGTTGGCCTGTGCGGCGGGCGGCCCGGCGGGCGCGGGGGCGTTGGCGGGGGCGGGGCCAGCGACTGT